ATGGTTTTTATTTTCCATTCCTCATATAGGACTATGTTGTTGTTCTGTCCTATTGAGTCAATTCTGACTCACAGTTATCCTACCTGTGAGGAAGAACTGCACCACTGAGGTTTCTTGGTTATAACATTTAGGCGAGCAAGCATATACATCTTTCTCTCTTGTTGAATTCCTTGGGTGGGTTTGCAGTGCCAAATGGTTAGTAGCCAAGTACTTAACTAAATTGACTTTAAGGTAGTCCCACTTCTTAAGAAGAATCTCCACTCTTACCTAGAAATCTTCCTTCTTTCTTAGAATTTATTGGCTAATATTTATTAAGTAGTGAGTACCTCCAAATCTTTATGGTTATTTTTGGGAGCATAAAACTGATTTAATAAGTTTAGTCTATTCTTTAAAAGCCTTTAGTTTGCCTAGGAAAACCTTAGTGAATCTAGTGTTAAGGAAGGCAGCCACGATAGATAAGTCATTAAAAGTCCTTTTCAGGGTCATCTAGTTCCACAAAGACAGTGAGATAGGATGATGTTGAAAATGACATTCACAAGAGCAGATCACTGACAATTTGAGAGGGAAAAAAATTCGTCATACCCTAATTAAAGAGGACCTACTGTATATACTTAAGTGTAAGTTGACCTGAATATCAGTCGAGGTACCAAATTTTACCACAAAATGCATAAAAATGTGCTGAAAAACTTGACTTATACATGAGTATATATGGTACTATTAACAGCATAAATAATAGCTGACACTATAGAATCTCAAATGGTTCAGCTTCCACAATTCTGACTGAAAAATTAAAGCCGAGCAAACTTTTTGCTGAATATGTGCCAAAATCATATGTCTTGGTCAGCTGTAGAGAAGAGCAGAGCTTTAAATGGAGATTTAAAAACACGTGGTATCAATATCTTGAAGCATTAATGTCTTGTGAGAATTGTAATAGGAGATGAAACATGGCTTTACCAATACAATATTGGAGAGAAAGTACCATCAAAGCAGTGGCTGCCAAGAGGTGGACAGTGATCTCACAGAGCCAAAAATGGACCAGGCAAGAGTAAATATCATGGCAACAATTATTTAGGACGCTCAAGGCATTCTGCTTGTTCACTTTCTGGAGGACCAAAGAACCATAACATCTGCCTTTTGTTTTTGTTTTTAATCATTTTATTGGGGCTCGTACAATTCTTATCACAATCCATACATACATCCATTGTGTCAAGAACATATGTACATTTTTGCCATCATCATTCTCAAAATATTTGCCTTCTACTTGAGCCCTTAATATCGGCTACTCATTTTCCCCCTCCCTCCTCACTCCCCCCTCCCTCATGAACCCTTCATAATTCATAAATTATTATTTTGTCATATGTTACACGCTGCCGACTCCCCCGCCCCTTCTCTGCTGTCCATCCCCCATGGAGGAGGCTATACGTAGATTCTTGTAATTGGTTCCTCCTTTCTACGCCACATTCCCTCCACCCTCCAGGCATCGCCACTCTCACCACTGGTCCTGAAGGAGTCATCTGTCCTGGATTCCCTGTGTTTCCAGTTCCTATCTGTACCAATGTACATCCTCTGGTTTAGCAAGATTTGTAAGGTAGAATTGGGATCATGATAGTCCGGGGAGGAAGCATTTAAGAACTAGAGGAAAGTTATATGTTTCATAGTTGCTACCCTGCACCCTGACTGGCTCATCTCCTCCCCACAGCCCTTCAGTAATGGGGTGTCCAGTTGCCTACTGATGGGCTTTGAGTCTCCACTCGGTACTCACCCATCTTTACAATGATATGATTTTTTTGTTCTTTGATGTTTGATAGCTGATCCCTTCGACAGCTCGTGGTCACACAGGCTGGTGTGCTTCTTCCATGTGGGCTTTGTTGCTTCTGAGCTAGTTGGCCGCTTGTTTATCTTCAAGCATTTATGACCCCAGGCGCTATATCTTTTGATAGCTGGGCACCATCAGCTTTCTTCACCACATTTGCTTATGCACACGTTTGTCTTCAGTGATTGTATCAGGAAGGTGGGCACCCACTGGTATGATTTTTAGTTCTTTGATGCCTGATAAATGGTCCCTTCTACACCTTGTGGACAACATCTGCCTTTTATGAGTGTTTTGAGAAAGTTAACCAAAGCTCTAACAGAAAAAAATGTGCAGGAAAACTTCACCTGAGAGTCCTCATCATAGCAATGCTCCTGCTCCTTCCTCTCATTTCTGCTTGCTTCCTAATCTTAAACAATATATTGAACCCATTGTTCTTTGAGTAACGTAAAAACATTGTATTGACATGATTAAATTCCCAGTTCTTTAGGGATGGACTAAATGACAGATATCACTGCTTACAAAAATGTCTAGAACTTGATGGAGTTTATGTTGAGTAATAAAATTTATGTTTCTTATTTTATGTTTTAATTTAATTTTCCAAAAGCATTTTGAAGTCCCCTCATAACAGTGAAGTCTATGTCTAATTAAGATCAGCATTCCTGTGATCTTTGTGCTAAATATTGCTCTTCAGAGTTTTTTTTGGAGTATTTTTAAACTTTAAATGCAAAAATATATATATGGTTTTGAATTTTATTAGTGCTATGATTAAAGGTAATAATAGCCTCACTGAAAGTCTTGACATGACAGTTTAAGGGACATTCACCTAAGGGTGCCCTAATCAATTGTATTATGTTCGTCTTGAAAAAGAAGTATTACCATCCTGTGTTGATGCCATCTGTAATTCTAAACCATAGTACTTAGTCACTCAATATTAGAGTATAAAATTAAATGCTCCTCATAATACGCAGTTGAATATTTTCTTCAGGGAAGACAAGATCTGTTATTAGTGGGTAAACTATTTGATCTGTTTATGGCTTTACCACAAAGATGATGCGATTTTTTTTTTCTTTCTTTCTGTAATTGTGTAAATATGCATTGTATCAGGATATTCTGACTGGGAGTATGGGGAAACTTTAACCCCAGTTGACTGAAACACAGGAAACTTATTGCCTTGCATAACAGGGAATCCAGAGACAGGGCCTGCTATGTCAGACTTTCAGCTCCCACAAAGTCGACAGCTCAACATTATCAGGGAGAAAGATGAGGCTTTCTGCTCCATAGAGGTTTATAGGCCCAGGAAACCCTGCTACTCTGGCCTGTAGTATGGCCGTGAGTCAAAATTGACTTGATGACAGTGAGTTTGGTTCTTTAGTTTGCCCCCCGCCCCCCCATCCCATTCTATTAGTTCCATCCTCCTTTCTTCTCCAGTATTTGGCTTAATCAGTTAATATCTGCACTAGCCACCCAGGGCTACCATAACAAATGACCACAAACTTAGTAGCCTCAAATAACAAATTTATTTTCTCACTGTTCTGAAAGTTGTTAGAAATCTGAAATTTCTAGAGAAATAATACTTCACCTTTTCAATTTCTAGTAGATCCAGGTGTTCTCTTTTTCTAACTGTGTTGTTCTAACCTCAGCCTCCAGTTTTATGTGGCCTTCCCCTTGTTTCTTCTTCTGGACATGTGTGACTCACATCTCTCTCCACCTTTCTCTCTCATAAATGGGAACCTGTCATTGCATTAAGGTTCTGCCTCATTGATCCAGGATGAACTCATCTGGAGATCATTAATGTCGGCAAACCCTTTCTCAAATAAGTTAACCCTCACACTTTCCAGGAGCTTGATGGGCACTTATCTTTCGGCGGACCACCATCCAATCCACTACAGCAGCCCACCCCAAATCGCAGTCTTTACAGGGGCACAGGTCTTTCCCTCTAGTTCCCTAACAGTTTCCCGGCCCTATGCCACTGTCACCCTATCGGCAAGCGTCTCTTGATGGCTTATTGGTGAGCATTGGTCCACATGTCCATTCTTAAATCAGCTGTTGGCAAGGCGAATGAATGACTTTGGGACTACCCGCTTAGAATAAATATTTAGGATGAAGACTGATGTGGGTGAAACCATGGCAGTGTTCATCGTGTGCATTATCCAATACTAATGTTAGCAATTATTTCTAATGTCTAGTAGTCATGGAAAAATTTTGATTAATCAAGACGACTGTGTGTATAAGCTTTTAGGTGAAAATTTAGGTATCTCATACAAGGGGCTACTCTCCGCCAAACGGATTGTTTTTTCAAAGCTATGTATTTCAATTTTTTTTCCAAAACAACCTATCGCCTTCAAAGCACTTTCCATTAAACTTAATGCATTTGTCAAATCTGTGATTCCATTCTTGGAAATAATTTCCAAACTCATCTGTTTGGATGACTGACAGCACCTCCCTCGATTTTTTTCTTCACCTCTTTTATGTCGTCAAATCGCTGTCCTTTCATGTCCTTCTTCATTCATGAAAACAAAAAGAAGTTGCACAGAGCCGGGGGTTTTTTTGCCCCAAACTGGCACACTGAGATGGCTGCATGAACTGGTGCATTGTCGTGGTAGCAAAACCAATCCCCTGTCTGCCACAAATCAGGCCTTTTTTGTCATACATTGTTAGGCAATCTTTTCAGAACCTTTAAATAGAAAGCTTGACTAACAGTCTGACCTGGTGGAATGAACTCCAAATGCACTACAAGTTGACATTTTCATCTGCCGGGGAAGTTGACAGATGCCCAGAATAAGGTTTGTTACCATTCAACATTTCACCATTTGGGAAACAAGAAAACCACTCTTACACTTGAGTTTTTCCCAAGCGCTGTCTTTGTGAGCTGTGTTCCACATCACAACAGTTTATGCACATTTTTCCTGAGCAGTAACCAAGATTTCACAGCCATACGCTGTTCTCTTAAATCAACCATCGAAAAAAACGAGGCTTGAGCAAAACTGCTTTTATGAAAAAATTCACTGTGACCAGATAGAACCTTCTCAGGGGTGCCACTGAGCGCACCAACTCAGAGCGATTGCCTGTGTAGCGGGGTAAAATGTGTACTAGGAAAGCTCCCCTCTGCCCAGCACAATTCCGGAGTTGTTTTTTGTTTTTTTGGGGGGGAGCTCTTTTATTAATATCTGATCTATCTCTTTCTCAGCGTTGCATGGGAGCCAATGGGAGATGGCAAAAAAATCATTTCTTTGGCGGATAACCATATCTTGCTGTGGGATTTACAAGAAAGCTCAAGCCAAGCTGTGGTAAGCATTATAAATTGTATGTATACACTGGCGTGTGCATGTGTGTGTGTAAATTAAACCTTCAGGCTGAATTCAGAATATGCCTCTTCATTCATAATTTTGACATTAATTATGAAATAATAAATGAATAAACAGAGTCATCAATCAAGGAATTGAGGGAAATCAATGCCAGATTTAGGACTCAGGCTCTGCACAAACATTAGGACCTCTGATAGTTGCTTTAACTCTTTAAGAAGAAGAATGTCTAAGAGCATATTCATCTGTTTAAAGTATATTATTGTTTTAATGAATGGATTTTAAAAACATATTTGATTAAAATATGACTTCCAAGAAGTAGAGGCAGTTATAAAATATTCACTTAGTACTGCCTAGCTAGCTCTTTTATTGTAACTGCATGAATATGTACAATAATCACTATGACCAGGTTTCCTCTAAGTCTGTTTTCCTTTCACTTGCGTTTACATACATAAACCTGAAATCCCATATGAATGTAGATATACACCATGAAACCTAAGCTTGTCTCCCATTCACTTACATTTATATACATGTAATCCCATGTAAATGTATACACATATCAATACACTGTGAAAACTTTCTAAATAAGAACATGTGCAAGGCAGAAACTTGTCAGAGAAGAAAACTCATATTTTCAGCCATAGAGAGTAAGAGAAAAATGGCAAAACTTCACCCTATTGAGCAAAACCTTGTGAGACCCAGCAAAGCAAGGCAGTCCTGTTGAATTCTGGCTCTCGTGGGTTTTACTGTAAATATTATTTTCATATATATATGTATTTTTCAAGTTATATCACCTATTTATGTGGTACTTGACTACTAGGACCTACACACAAGGCTTCTCTCCTGTTCTGTGTGGCAGTTTACAGCTCATTTCATAACGTATAATGTATTTTTCCTAGTATGAAAAATAGTCCTGTCTTCACAATTCCCCTCTAAAAACTAACCAAACCTGCTTGTTTGCAGATCTTGTTGGACATTTACCATTTATTTTCTTTAGAACCACTTTGTTTTCAAATGTTCATCCTTCTGAATGTTTTGTCCTTCAAAGAGCAAATAATCCTAATGGGTACGATGTACTTTTTTTATGCTTGATTAAAGTTTATCTTTTAAAATACAGCTTTTCATGCATCTCTAACTGTATTACAGTTTTTTTATTCTAAATGACTTTAGAGAACAAAACCAACCATAAATATTTGTAATGAGAGCCTTTAGTGTCATCTGGGCAGCTGGGTGGCGCACTTGGTTAAGTGCTCAACTGCTCGTTGAAAGGTGGGCTGTTTGCACCCACCCAGAAGCACCTCAAAAGAAATAGCAACGATGAAATGTATAACTTTCCTCTAGTTCTTTAATGCTTCCTACCCCCACTATCATGATCCCAATTCTACCTTATAAATCTGGCTGGACCGGAGGATGTACATTGGTACAGATAGCAACTGGAAACACATGGAATCCAGGATAGATGACTCCTTCAGGACCAGTGGTGAGGGGGGTGATGCCTGGAGGGTGAAGGGAATGTGGGGTAGAAAGGGGGAACCAATTACAAGAATCTAAGTATTGCCTCCTCCCTGGGGGGATGGACAGCAGAGAAGAGGGTGGAGGGAAACATAAGACAGTGTAACTTATGACAAAACTATAATAATTTATGAACTATGAAGGGTTCGTGAGGGAGGGGGGAGGGGGGGGGGAAATGAGCAACTGATATTAGGGGCTAGAGTGGGAGGCAAATGTTTTGAGAATGATGAGGGCAACAAATGTGCATATGTGCTTGACACAATGGATGTGTGTATGGATTGTGATGGGAATTGTACGAGCCCCCAATAAAATAATAATTTAAAAAAAGATTACACATGGTCTTGAAAACCCTGTTCTACTCTGTGCCCCGAGTCAGCTATGACTCAGACAATAGTGGTGCTACTAGATGCACCGGAGGCTTCAGGCCATTCCTCTCTCAGTTCTTGTCACGCTTGTAAGAAAGAATGCAGACGAGAGGCAGGAAAAACGTTTGATGGAGTGAGTGAGTTTATTTAAGAGCGATGTCTAGTATGGCTTGCATGGAGGGCATCGTACCTACTCTGAGGAAATACCATAGACGGAAACCCAAGTTGTGTTGCACTGCCGACAGTGTCCTACTTCTCTTGACCAGCTCTTCTTAGTGTACTTCCCCTTCACAACCGTTGCATGCACCCCCAAAGTACAGAACCCAAGCGTCAACTCAGTTATTTTCAGGGCTGCGCACCTTTTCAGTACACGCTCTCTTACTGCTGTCCCCTCCCGTGTTGGGAATTTCTTCCCTTTTAAAGATTATTGGTAAAGGAGTGTGTCTTCTCTGCCATTCATCTCCTTCTGTGATGGGCTTCCTTCCTCCTGGCCCTGGGTCTGTGGACCTAGACACTATCATTTATACTTATTGGTATTAGGTGCCATCAAGTTGATTCTATCTTAAAATGACCCTAAGATAAGAGAACAAAACACTGCCAAGTCCTATGCCGTCATCACAACCATTGTTTGAGCCCCTTGTGATAGCCACTGTGTCTATCCATCTCATTAGCCATCTTCTGTTCTGCTGGTCCTCTGCTTTCTTAAGTAGTATCTTTTGCTGGGACTGGCCCCTCCTGATGGCGTGTTCAAAGCACATGGGCCAGTTTCACCACCTTCATTACGATGGAGCCGTCTAGCTCTACTTCTGTCAAGACATAGCTTTTCATTTTCTGTCAGTCCATGGTATATTCAATATTCTTTACTAACACCATAATTCAAACCCAGCAATTCTCATTTAATGTTCCTTATTCATTGTCCAGGTTTCACATATGTATGAGGCAATTGAAAATACTATGGCTTATATCACCTTAGTCTTCAAGGAGAGATCTTTGCTTTTAAACACACTCTAAAGAGGTCGGTCTCCTGCAGCACATTTTCCCAAGGCGAGGTCAGTTGCTTTTTTGACAGCTGCTTCCATGAGTGTTGATTGTGGATCTGAGTAAAACAAAATCTTTGACAACTTCAACCTTTTCTCCTTTTATCACAATGTGATTTATTGCTCCAGTTGTAAGGATTTTTGTTTTATTTATGTTGGAGTATATGCTCTTTGATCTTCATCAGTAAAGGCTTCAGATCCTCACGGTTAGCAAGTGAGATTGTGTCCTATGTATACCACAGCTTGTTAGTGAGCCTGCTCCAATCCTGATGCCATGCGCTTTTTCAGAGTCCAATTTCTCAAATTGTTTGTTGAGCATTCATATTTAAGTTGCTGAGTTTTCTCTTGTTCTGTTCAAGCAACTGCCTTTTCACTTAAGCACAATTAACTGTCCTGGAATTCTCATTTTTCACAATATTACCCATTATTTGTTATGATCCATAGTCAAATGCCTTTGTATAGTCAATAACGCACAGGTAAATAGCCTTGTGGTATTTATTTATATCCAGACTCATGGCCATCAAGTTGAGTCCGATGCATGAAACCCTACATAGGGTTTCTGATGCTATAAATATCTTCGGGAGCAGACAGTAGCGCCTACGGAGCCACAGGTGGATTTGAAGTGCTGACCTGGCTAGCAGCTCATCTTCTATCACACAGTGCCATCAATTTTGGTTGTTGCTGTCATTTATACTTAGGGAGCTCAAATTTCAGAAATGTCAAAAGGACATGGAGAACTGTATCGATTGGCTATTCTTATAAAGTGAAGGTTCTCATCTTATATGTGTGCTTGTTTCTATGATGATTATAGGGTTGCTGTGAGTCAGAGCTGACATGGTGGCCCCTAACACCAATGTAATGCTTATGAAATTCCTGCGTAGTATAAATTGCTAACACGCTGCTGACAGAAAGGTTGGAGGTTAAAGGTACCTTGCAAGAAAGGCCTGGTGATATCCTTCCCCAAAGTCACAGCCATCGCACACACTGTGGAGCACAGTTCTATCCTCATATGACTTGGTATCTTCATGAATCATAACTGACTTAGGCAGCAAATCAGTTATGATGCCTTTTCCTTATAAAATCAATCCTTTCCTAAGCCCTCTGAATTGTAAAGATAGCAGGACTAATGATTTATCATTATTAACAGGTGGCAGATAAGTCAAATTTCATCTTACTTTTTAATGTTTCCTTGTTAAAATTTTAAAACTGACTGGTCAAAAGGGAGTGTCAGGGATTTCAATTTGAAATTAAGATTTGGCATATTTTGTGCATCAGTAATATTTGAGAATCAATCTGTATTAATTTTTTTCAAATAGAGTATGTTTCTATATAATGGAATAGAATGCAAATTTCCCATGAACTTTTAAGATAAAGCATGAATGTTTAAATAAATTTAGTGCCCAGGAGTGGCCTCTGTGGAGTACACCTTCAGGTCCCCGGAGGGTGAATACATACATATTCATCACCTTTGCTGGTGAAGGGGGCCCTGCTGAGACGTCTGGGTCATTTTCAAAGATATTCCCTTTCCAGTTCCCTTCCTTCAGCTTGCATTTTAATAGGGGGCTCCCTAGTAACTGCAAAGGACAAGAGTCGGCATCTGTTTCTGAAAAGCAGTCAGTGACGATGCTGCCGATCACGATCACCGCTGTCCATTCCGCAACAGATCATGGGCATGGCTCAGGACCTTGGGATGCGGCAGCATTTCTCATTCTGTTTTGCATGAGATCATGAGTATAGCCAACTCCACAGCAGTAATGACAATTAACTTTAAACATAAAAGGAAATGCTTAAAGGAATTTACTGCAATCCTAAACCTCTTGTCAGGCTTAGGGGAGACACTTGGAGTAGACACTGAGAAGATGCTGAGTGGCGCCATCTGAGTACTTAGTGTGCTCCCCTTAGCGAGGAGCTGCCGAGAAGCAAACAGGCCTGAATCCCGTGCATTTGAATTCAGCAGTTTCTCATTTGCCTCCACTTTGTAGCTCCATTTTATAATCAAACTGCGAGCACATCTTCAGACCCTAAGTCATCTCAAAATGATTTTATGGTAGGGTGATTAATCTGTAACTTA